TAATATACCTGTATTATACTTAATAAACAATTATTTGAAATTAAGAATAAAATTAGTTTCTAAAAATATTTATAATAAAGATAACACTAAAAATAATAAATTCAAAAATAAAAACCACAATAAACAGTTAATTTAAAATTAAAATATGAAACTAAAAAATCTAAAACCAAGAATTATAAAAATATTGTAAAAGAAAAAAAGAGAGATCAAATTAACTAAACGAAGAAAGTGGCGAATGGCTTCGGTGGCCGGGAGGGGATCCCAGTTATAATTAATTTAAGTTCAATCTCAAAACTGTTATACAATTATATACTAAGTCTCATTGAAGTTGATGAACCATAATATACGTAGTGTTTTTTCGATTCACGTGTATTAAATTTTTATTTCTCATATTTACTGAATGCATTTCACTTATTTTTGGTTAGTACGATCGTCAAATGAATAGATGAAGTTTGTAATTCATGAATGCGTACTGTTAGTTTTATTTTAATAAGATCTTCAATTCATAATATACCATTTGCTTTATGAATAAATTAATTATTCTCCCTCGAATTATAATTAAAAAGGTTTTTTATCACTCGGTTTTGGATCGTTTGCAAAGTATTGATTGTTTCTTTGGTTGATGTGCTCCATAATTTAACGACGCAGCTTATATGACTATTAAATAATGAGTAAGAAATTGATTTCTTTTACTTATTTGAAAATTAATAGTGAGACTCTTTTAAATACTTCACAGCAACCACAGGGAATTTTTTTCCTATAGTTCGAATATGGGAATATTCCATTTTAGCTAGAACTCAATCGATGGAATAGCTGAAAACCAAGATATTTATATTCTGTTACCTGATAAAGAGCTTGATTATTTAACTGTAAATTTATTTAGTTGCATGTTGACCCAATAATCATATATATTTAGTTCTTTCTAATATTAATAACAAACTTTTGTTTAACCATCCTGTAATAGATTTTACCTAGTTCGCAATTCATTTTAAGCTACATTTGACTAAGGGTTTCTGGTTGAAATAATATACAAATATCCCCTGCATATAGAAAAATATCTATTTTATTACTTACCAATTGACAAAAATCTTTGATATACATTAAAAATCTCACATTTTCCAATAACAATCCTAAACTTGCTCTAAAGTGATAAATAGCAATTTTTAGTCATTCACTGTGGGGCTTTTCCTTTTTTGCTTTCAAGCGTAACGTCTATTATGAAAAAAAAAATAAAAACATTTTTACTTTAATAAAATTTAAATGTCCTTGGGTAATTTTAATAAAAATAAATCTCACTTTTAAAACTATGGGTTAAATCTTATCACAAAAAAAAGCAAAAAAACAAAAACTAAAATGTGTGAAAAGACGCAGAACGTCAAAATGCAATTTTTATTCATTCTCTCCTTTTCATTATTTTATTACAACAATACTCGTATCCTTTGCAAACACAAATATAACATGTCCCCTTTCTTCTTTTTATTTCCAAATTTTTTTTTTATTTTTCGCTCCAATTTTTCACTTCTACACAAATTCAGTTTTTGTTACAATTTTGTGATTATAAAAAAATAAAAGTTTTTTTTTTTTCGGCTTTCATTTGTAATTTTTTTTTATGTTATGCCACGTCCTAGATGAAATCAGAACAGAAACAAAGTTTTCACTTGTTTTCTGCTTTTGTTTCATCTCTCTAGTACCTTAATGGAATGCTTCTTACGAATGAAATCTTTTTGATCTATACTAGCTTGCTGATTATTTGTTTACTAGCTTGTTTTATATTAACAAACTTCATATTAGTGTGAGTATATGCAGGGCTGCATCGAATTCAATGAAATGTATGCAAAGTAAGCTCTTGCTATGCACGCCGGGAGAAAAGGGCGCCCATTCTTTCTTTAAAAATTCTTTACAATTTTTTCAATTACGTGTTTGCCAAAAATTTACATATTATATACCTATACACTAACATTTCAAAACAAATAGTTGAAATTTTTATTCCACGTCTCCATTACGTGTTTGTTTGAATTCTATGACTAATTTTACATTCAGCATGATAAAATTATAAGGCAGAAATTTATTATGCGTAATGTACAATATTTATTGCATAATGTTCATTGCTTTGAAAGAAGGAGCGCACGTTTTGAAAACCATACAGGGCGCCAAACAATTCAAACCCGGGCATGTATGTATGTATGTATAAAGTGTGCATATTATGCAAATAAGGAATTTATTTTTTCCACTAATTTCTTAAAAGCTAAAAAAAATTAAACAAAAAATCGTATTTTTAGCACTTTTCCAAAAATTTTTTGAAAAAAAGTGCTTATTAGTTTCACTCTGTCCGTCCGTCCGTCCGTCCGTCCGTCCGCCCGTCTGTCCGTGTGTCTGTTTACAAAACTTCTACATTCTTAAAGATAGAAAGCTGAAATTTAATACGTGCATAGATCTTTACTAGAAACTTATTTTCGTAGAACAAAATTTTTACCTATCTCCCCCCCTCTAGAAGTTATACCCCCCCAAGGCCACAAAAATGGCCCATTTTAACTATTTGTTGCAATGAAACCATAAGCATTTTTGAAATTTTGCAAACGCAGAAAGGCAGCGGCTGGCTTTCCCTAGCGCGGTATACTATAGTTAAACTTTAGAAAAATAAAATGGCTGTTCAAATTTACCGTTATCTAAAGTCCTTTTTTTCCAAATTTTTGATGTCGTTTTTCTCCTATACCCCAGCCTGCAGAAGCTTGAAATTTAAGGGACTTTTAGACATTAACAAATAGTTCATTTCGTTAGAAGAAAATTTTTTTCCATCTCCACCCCCTCTCAAGTTATCGCCTCTTGAAATTCGTAAAATTTGAATTTTTGACACCTTATATTTCCGAAACCGCAAGCTTTTTCAAATTTCTATAAACGCAAAAACCTAGCGATAAATTCCATGACATTAAAAAATATAATTATTTTTCTTAACTCACACAATTAACCCTTAAAATCGAGCCTTATGTTAACCCCTCTTTATATTAATTTTTATCTATTTCAAAGACTGCATAAATCGTTCATCCTAAATATATGCAATCCTAGAAATAGTTTCGTTTATGAATGAAAATAATTTTAATAGTGTGGTGGATATACATAGATTGTTTTTAAAAGCAGTATTTTCACTTGGAAAAGTGCTACAATACAAACCATTGGTTTGACCCAACTTTATTTTTTTTAAAATGTTCTCTCTATTTTTTGATTATCCAAAAACAAAATTCAAAATTAAACCAAAAGTATAAATGGATGCATTCCCCTTACAAAGAAATATTACAGAATTTAAAATTTTTATTTAAACCGTAAGGGTACATTATACGATTTGCAGATTTAAAATTATTTAACTATTTGTGCATTTGATATTTCAAAAATGTGACTATTCTGTTTTGTTCAGTTCTCAGAGGCGGTTTACATTTTTTAAGTTCAACATTTTTCTTTGGTCTATTTTGGTTGCATTCCTGGAGAACTCTTAGCCATTCTCTTCTCCGAGTTTCTTTTGGTTTTAAGAATTCTTCCTCCCCTATCTCATACACCACAATTACCTCTTTATACACGTATTCAAAATCACAATACGCGTATAGATTACAGATTTGCTCTCTGAATGTAACGGACTTTTTATATTACCTTCAATTTAATTTGGCTATAAGTATTGAATTTTATTGCTATAAATATTATAGGGAATTACTAAAATTAAAAATTAACATCTAAATTACTTTTGTAGAGTAACTGGAGATTTTGTGGAGATTCTGTAGAATAACTGAATTTTTGATTTTTTGTTTTAACGTGAATTTTATTTCTGTCAAGTTTTAATAACTGAACTACCTGAATTATTATTTATCGTATTCACTTTGCACTGTTTTAAAATACATTTTTTAATTAAATTAACACTGGGCTCACTTGAGGTAAATTTGGAAAAAAATAAATAAAATTAAAACTAATCATATATTTTGTTTTTAATTTCCCTAATTTGCTAAGTTTTAAATACCATGGGTAAAGATAATTTTATAATTAAAATATAAAAAAAAATATTTCCACACACAGTAAATAAATTTTAATTACAAAAAAACTTTAGATATTTTTTTATACCTTGAATACTAATAAATTTAAAAATTAATGTATGTGCTGCCTTCCACTATGATTTTTTTTATGAAATTATAAAAAAAGTAAAAGTTTTACAGAAGATTATTAAAATGCATTTTGAACACTTCCTTTCAACTTTAAGGACCCTAGTAAGCTTTTAGTTTACAAACCTAGAAAAATGTAAATTTGACTCTTAGTAGAATTTCGTTTTGTACCATCCGAATTACCTGAAATGCTCGCCAGTTAGTTTCGGTAACAACCGGGACTCAAATAAAAAATTTTAAGAAATTTCGACACCCTGTTCGGGTTTTGAGCTCTGATCGTTCCAAAAAATTTATATGTTCATTGTTTTAACACTCAAAGAACATATTATATTTCAAGGAAATTGATTGATTATTTTTCCTTATATAGGCAAAAATCTGAAAAATCCCGCAAAAAAGTCCAGTTCTGATATATCCCAAAGTCTAATATATCCTAAAAGTTTATCAATTCCTTACATAGCCAAAACAAACTCACATATAAAATTTCATGAAAATCGATTCAGCCGAACTTGAGATACACGCGTGCATACACAGACCGACTGATTGACAGACCGACTGATTGGCAGACCGACAAACCGCCAGACCTACAGGTTGCTAGAAATATTTTATTTACGCTTTCCATCGAAAATTCGACATCCATAATTGATTGCCAATACATTTGTATGCAATGCAATCGGTAACAAACTGAACAGATAAAAGATTATAAAAATTCCATATAGGCTCATTTTTAGTGGAATCGTAATGAAAATATATATATTAAAAATACAAAGCATTCTTTAATATTAAAAAAAAAAAGAGTTCTAATTCTACAGTGTTCTAGAATAAGAACATTTCTAGGACAAAATTGCTTTCTTAAAATTTTATCATTATATATTAAATTTTTATTAAATTTATTTTAAAATAGACCTACTGATTTCTATAACTTTTACAAACATTTTTTTGAAAATATTTTTAAATATTAATATTTTGTTATAGTATTATATAGTGAAAAGCATCAATATGCCCAAATACGAACATAATCAATTTTAAGAGCAGCATCTTCTCCAATCCAAGTAGGATACCATTTATCTTTCGCTTTCCAGAAATTCAATTCATTTTTCGGATCTAAATTTACCCAAGGCTTTCGATATAAATTATTATGTATATTGTCAGGAAAATCAGATATACCACCAGCAGATACACCAAGTGACAAAAAAAACTAAAAAAAATTTAAGAAAATATTATATTTTTAATTAAATTAAATAAAATACCTCTTTGTTGAAAGGTGCCATTTTATCACCATTTTCCCACAATTTAGCATTTTCGCTCTGAAAACTAGTATTAAATACAGCATATTCCTTATCGTCTACCATAAATGAAATATATTCATCTGTCCATATAGTTCTAAATATGTGAAATTCATTTCCAAAATGAATATTATCTTGTAAAATATTTTTCATGTATATTTCTCTTGATTTGACACCCTGCGATAAAATTACTCCACCATATAAACGATTACCACTGATATCTTTACCATTATTTGTTTTCAATTCTTTATTACCTCTGGCGAAAGCAACACGTATTTGTCCAGATGAATAATTACAAATTCCATAATCATTACTCTCAGGTTCCAAAAATAGTTCTATAAAAATTTAGGTATATAAAATATTTGTTTTATTTAATAACTTAAATATAATAAATATAATTAAAATATGGATTACGTGGAAATAACCAATCTCCAATTGGTAATTTAGCTCTAATTTCAACTACACCATATTTAAATGAAAATATATTCTTTGTTCTTATACGAGCTGAAACTATCGGTGGTAAAATTCGCCAAGAAAAAGCTTCTCTTCTACATTCAATTGATGGGTCGTATATACCAGTGCAACTACAAAAAAAAATTAAATTAATGTTAATTTTTATAATAGATAATTTTTTTTTTTTGTTTTTAGCAATTTTAAAATATGCATTTTTTAACAGACTTGTTTCCTAAATTAATATGACCCGTACGAATTTTTTCATCATCAAAACCATCTAATTCTGTTAGTATTTGTGGTAAAATATATAGTATTCCATCTTTTACATATAAATTCTGTTCTAAATTTTGAAATGATACAAAATCATCATCCTCTGTATCAATTGGTATTCTAACATCATAATTCCATTTATCCAAATCAATTTTCTCAAAATTATCTTCGAAAATCAAATCATCTTCACAAACTTTTTGATTTTTATTGATAACCGTTTTCGAATATTTACATTCTTGTTTGCTAATTATAATTTTCGATTCTTTGTCTATTAATTTACTCGGTTGATCATTTTGAATAAAAGATAAAAAATCATTTAGAAAATAATTAAAATCTTGTTTTGGATTAATTCGTTTGTAATTAAATTTCTTCGTTAGAAAATTATAAACTCTACACTGTGAACCAAAATGAAAAGACGATATATTTTCATTAGTTTTGTTGACATGTGCCGTCACAAAAAATTTCATTTCTAATTCAATAAAATTTGTACCATTTTTATTATGTTTATAACGATATTCCCATCTCTTATTTGAAGAATTATATTGAAAAGATTTTCTTGTAAGCGAAACAAACAAAAGATTTTGCTCAAATCTAAATGGTGTAAGTGTGTGAAAAGGAAATTTTAATGCTATGCTTCCAGTAATTTCAACACTTTGAAAAACATTATCGATATCTAAATATATTATAAAATATTTAAAATTATTCAAAAATTGAATTGTATAAAAAAAAAACACACCTGTAATTGCAAACCTTGAAGTTCTTGATTTTGATATATATATATAATCTAAATAAGATATTTCGTATGGACTGTCTTCCAAAATTATTTCATTGACACAAGCTCTTACAATTATTATTAAGAAAATAATTGAAATTTTAAACATTCCCTAAAATTTAATTAAAAAACAAAAAAAAAAAAAATTAGGAATACTGATAAAGAAATACGGAAAGTTATTCTGAGACTGCCTCACTTCTCAGAATAATCCGCTTAATATAAGCTCATTTTAAAAAACTTACCATATTGAACTTTAATTAAATACTAAATGTTTACTAAAGAAATAATAATCTCTTATCAAATGAGAATTATTGTTATCATCATAAATTAAATCAGCATGTGTTTGAACTGCTTTCTTCGATTTCTGTCTTTTCTATAAAGTTGCAGCACTGAAAGTCATTAAAATAAAAGTTTTTAATAAACTATTTAATTAAAAGCAATTTGCATTTTCTGTGGCGCACGTGATGCAGTGGATTTTTTTTTTTTGGCTCTTTCTTTCATTTGAATACATTTTTCTCTGCGATCTCTTATAAGTTTTCTCTTTTCTTGTCATTTTTGTTTTAAAAGCTTTTCTACTTAATCGTAGACATGTCTTATAATTTTTTTTTAACTTTTCTAAAATTTTTATGGTCGTTATTAAAAAGGATTAAAAACGAATGTGTTTTTACTTTTTTAGTGCTCTCTTGTGGTGAGGTATCAATCTTTTTTTTTCTATATTTTCATTTGAATATACTTACATAGATACTTAACACTTTTTAAACAAGTATTATGAGTTTTTGTCAATTTAACATACATACACACATAGGTTACCTAAATTATCAATAGCGCGTTGTACAGCGGTGCAGTGCAACAATTATAAGCAAAAGGAATTTAACAATTAGAAAACATAAAATTTTGAATTTTAAATAGGTAGGTACTCTTATTTGCTGCCGGAACTGATACGCGGCAGAGGAACTAGACAACAACAGGCATATCTGTTATCTCCAGTTGATTTTAATTTACTTAATATCAATTAATTTAAAGTTTTCCTATTAAATGAAACTGCTATGTTTTTTTTTACAATCTCAATGCAATTAACTACATATTTGTGATTTTTTTTTTGTTATTATAAAAAGCTTAAAGAATAAAGTTATTTTTGTTTTTTAATTGACTAACGAACATTAAGTGAGCCACTGTAACCAAAGGTTGTTGTAGAGTGGCCCATTAGAGGTAATGTTAGTTTTTCATCTCTAACTTGATAACCTTTTAAACTTTGAAAGTTTTGCGTTTAGTGCTTTAAGCAACTTAATAATGTATCTTTAAGATGCAAAAAATCGCATTTACATTTTTTTTATATTATAACATAATACGTAAAAATTATTTATTTTCTAAAGTGCCCATACACGCACATAGTCAATTTTAAGAGCAGCATCCTCGCCATTCCAAGTTGAAAACCAACGATTTTTTGCTCTCCAAAAATTTAATTCATTTTTTGCATCAGTATTTATCCATGGTTTTAGATCAGATTCACGTTTACCACTCATAGAAGATTCTGGAAAATCAGAAATACCCCCCGCAGATACTCCAAGGGACAAAAAGAACTAAAATTAGTAGTTGTTTTAGCAAAAAAATTTTGTTTCAGAAAATAAAAAATCAATAAACAAACTTCTTTATCAAATGGTGCCATTTTATTACCAGTTTTCCAATATTCAGCATGTTGTATATTATTTAAATCAAAAGCTTCATATCCAAAATTACCATTAAATCTACCATATTCAACGTCATCAACATGAAAAGAAATGAATTCATCCGTCCATACAGTTTTATAAATATGATAATCATCACCAAAATGATTTCTCTTCTTTAAAATATCTTTCATCCACAATTCCCTAAAATTTTCACCTTGATCTAAAACAACTCCACCAAATAACCGATAACCATCGATTTGCCTTCCCTCTTTTGTTTCTAAAATTTCATTACCTCTTATAAAAGCTAAACGTATTTGTCCAGATGAATAACCAGAAATACCATATAAATTCTGTCCGGGTTCTAAGAATAATTCTAAAATATTTCAAACAGAAAAGTTATTATTTAAGGAAAAATAATTTTTAAAAATTTAAAAAAAAATATTACGTGGAAATAACCAGTCTCCTTTTGGCAATTTTGCTCTTATTTCTATTGTTCCATATTTAAATGTAAATTTATTTTTGGTTGTGATACGTGCAGATACTATAGGTGGCAAGATTCGAAATGCAAACGCTTCTCTTTTACATTCCAAACTACGATCAACAGTTCCAGTACAACTATAAAATTTAAAAAAATATTTAGTTTATACTATAAATAATAATTTTGGAACTTAACTTTATTCCTAAATTAAGTGTACCCGTTTGAATACTTTCATCATCATAGCCAGACACTTCAGTTAATAATTTTGGTAAAATATATAGTATTCCATCTTTTACATATAAATTCTGATCTAAATTTTGAAATGATACAAAATCAGCATCCTCTGTATCTAATGGTATTCGAATGTCACGACTCCATTTACTCCAATCTATTTCATTAAATTGATCTTCAAAAATTAACTTTTGTTTACAAACCGTTTTCTCATAATTTATGGTAGTTTTCGATGTTTCGCATTGTGTAATATCAGGTAAAGTTGGTCCAACATTTGTTTGAGTATTCGGTTTATGTTCTCTTTGGCCTCCTAAAATATTATCTAAGTTAAGTGCTCCTGCAAGTGCATTAGTTGCACCAGCAAGCAAATGTGTTTCTTTTGCAATTTTTTCTGCCTTTTCATTTGTTGAAGGTGCATTTCGTCTTATACGATTTTTGATATTATTAAGTTGAATTTCATCGTAAGCGCCAACATCTTAAAATAAATTATATACTTAATATAAAGAAAACGTGTTTTTCAATTTTGAAATTCAAATTAGAAATATTGTCTTACATACTTATATACATGCATATATTATGTATGTTTGGGAATTCATTATAGCAATTAGTAAGCACATTCAAATCTTTCACTTGCAATTTTTATGATCAAATATATGACGTTGTACATGTACATATTAATATTCGCAAATCTACTTAATCAACGCTATCTAAATATTGTTTTTACTTTGCTCTTTTCCTTTAACCTATATTAAGAAACCTTTAAGTATAGAGGTATAACTGTAGTTATTACTTATTAATAAATTCTAATAAAAAATTAATCCAAAAATTTATTCTCTAATTAAAGGTATTCTTACAAAAATAAAATAAAATTTTATTAAATAAGTGCTATTAATGGTATGACATTTGAATAAAATTTTAGTGAGTAATCAGAGAGTTGACAAATCTTAAGAAATTGATAATAATGAGCATTCAACTAAATCACAAATTAAAAAACTTACTCACACTTACTTTGTCACTCAAAATCAAGTTATTGTTTTACTTTACGCAAAAATTTTTTTGTTATTAATATTTACACTAGGGCATTCGGGAGATTGTATAAATAGCTCCAATACCAATAATTTTTTTTTATAATTATATTCTAGTCGCACTAATATGATGTTCTTTTGAATAGAAATGAAACAAAGATAAGAAATAGAAATGAATCAAAGATAAGAAAAATTTTACTACAGAACTCTGTGGACAGTGGAATCAAAAAAAAAAAATTTGAATTTAAAATACATGGAATAATTAAATAGAGAAGATCCATTTGTAATAAAATCGACAACATTACTTTAATCAAGGTCATTATATAGACTCACAAAGAAACAGAAATTATAAATATTTTTCTTCTAAGTAAATACCCACATGAATGTTTATTTAAATATTTTAACTTACCTGAAGTTTGAACTTTTACCCTTTCTTCGGGTAGCTGAGCTAAATTTGATTTTAATAATTGAATATTTGATTCATAACTACCAAATACAAAATGAATTATTTCTATATTCAGAAATATCAGAAATGTGATAACCCGTTCAAAATTCATCTTAAAAATATTCAAATTAAAAAAAAAAATTATTTTCTAAAATCCGGTAATCACTCTTAATTCTATTATAGTCTATAGACACTCTTACCACTGTAAAGTTTTATAACAATCTAAAATAAAATAACAGAATCAAACACAATATCAAAATTATTAACACAGAAAAAGAGCAAAAGAAGCAGAAAGCAAAAAATTCAATCAATCAAGTTTTTTTTATAAAAATTTTATTTATAAGATTCGGGAAAAATTCTGCACCTTAGCGGCTAACATTTTCAATTTAAATTTAAAATTTTAAGCTTTTATAAGTGCACAAAGAGCCACAAAATATTTAATTTAAAATAATTGAATAACCAAGAAAATTCGGCCTTATCGCACCAACCACATTTTATTTTTTTTTTCAATCAATTAATCAATAAATTCTTTACAAAGTCTCCTGTTGCATTTGACAAAATTAATTGGTAAAAAAACGGTACTTTTTTAAAAAGTAAAATTGAGTTTTCGCAATGGGACACCTGTTCATTCTTAATTAAGAAAGTATTCATAAATATTTCCAAGATCGCTTTTTATAAAAATTTTGTAATCACAATAAAAATTTATTTAATTTTTGTGCACAGTTAATTCGTGAGTAATAATTAAGTACGGTAAGTTGATTTGTGGTAGAAAAAGAGATTAAGGAGGTAGTCAAAAATTTTGTTCCAATGAAATAGTTTTATTTCTAAAGAAGTTTAATTTTAATATTGATGACCTATAACAACCTTTTAAAATTTTAAAACAATTGGACTTGCAGTTTGGTAAAAAATTGTAAAAAAAAATATATGACGTAAAACACATTTTCTACCTTTGATAGGCTATTGACAAGAGAATCGATAAGCAAAATATGCGAAGATGCTCGTACTGCCCGAACTAACATAGGCAATGGAATTTTTCTAAAAACTAATTTAATATTAAATAAGAATTATAATTTTTTCTTTTTTTCAATATATTTAATTTTATAATTTTGTAAATTAGCAATTTCAATTAATTTATTTCAAAAAGAACGTTCAAAGAATGCAATCAATGAAGTGATTGCGCCAACAATTTATCTACATACCTACAAATATTTAAAACAAATGTATTATATATAAAATTATCCTGAAAAGGTTTTACTATCTTATTAGATATTTATTTTTTTAATAGAACATGAGACTAAAATTTTTTAAAAACACAAAAATATAACATTAATATTCATACATGGCAAAATCAACAAAATTTAATTTTGACAACTATAATATAAAAAACATTTCAACTAAATCTCTAAGAAATCCACTAATTCCAAAAACCGCATTTTTCTTAAATAAAAAGTATGGAAAAGGTTAAATAAAGTATGTGTCAGCCTTTAACAAAGTAAAGTTAATCAATATTTTGTAGCTTCTAGCATTGTATGAAAAAACTCTCCAACCATTTCAGTTCGTCACACTTAATTACGTATTAATAAATTACTGAACATTGAGTGGAAATCCACCTTAATAGCAATAATTTTCAATTTAGCAAAGTTTAAAACCATTTAATATTTTAAATTGCATTTCGAACTTATTAAAAAAATTCTTTTTCGGTTGGCATCTCTAAAAAATATATGTTCGAAAGTTTTTTAAGTTGTCGTTTTGAAAATCAACATACCTGTTGCTTAATCTTACCTTTTTGTTATTTTTATTATTATTTTTTTTATGACACACCGAGAAACTTTAAGAGAAAGTTGTTATTTTATTTTCATGTACATATCAGATCCAATTCCAAAATTTAATTTACAATATATTAAATCTACAAAATTTTTAAGGTTTACAATTTGCAAACAGTATTTTAATAAGAAATTTTCACAAAATAATAATGGTAACTTTTTTGCTAACATTAAATTTGTTAATGTTTACTAAAATTTCAATAATTACAGGCAAGATATTTTAAGGAACAAGATATCGATGGTAAGTAATTTAATGATAAGATAAGAGTGATACTTAAATATCATTGTAATTAAAATTCTGAATTTATAGAAAATTATTTGAATTCATTTGAGTGCATATCTAAAGCATAGAAATTCAAAAAATTTTTGTGTAGATGCAATTTTGTCATATTGCTTCCACATTTATAATTTTCGTTTATATGTTAATGACCTCAATTTTTCGTTTCGCTTCAAGAAATTTGATTATACAGGTTAACATAATTCATTGTTTGCAACCAAAAGACAAGACAATTTTTATTTTATTTATAGGAATCTATTGTTTTAAGATTATATTAAAACCTATACATGCTCTTAAATAATATAAATACATAGGTAAACATACATATTAAACAATATCTTATTGTTTAAAGATTATGTAGGTATAATTGCCCAAAATTACATGGCAAAAATTTAAAAAATCAAGTGTATTAGACGTACACTTTACTAATTACATATTGAATACATTTTAATAACATTTAATTTACAACTTTTAAATATAAACTCATTATACACCTTTACTTTGGTTTTTTTCTGATTTAATTATAGAATTTCGTGAATGCTTTTATTTATTTGCACGTTCTGGTCAAATAACATCTTTAGATGAATTAACTGTTATTATGAGATCTTTAGGATTATCACCAACAATACAAGAATTAACGCATTATTTAAAATCTAAAAATGGTAAAATGAGTTTTGCTGATTTTTTAGAAATAATGCATCAGCATTCAAAAGTTGAAAATTTACCAGATGAAATTATAGCTGCTTTTAAAGCTGCTGATACAGAAAATCGTGGTACTATATCAGCAAGACAATTACGTCATTTATTACAGAAATGGGGTGAAGGATTATCAGTTAGAGAAGTATATACAATATACATACATCTATTTTTTATAATTTTATCATAATTTAATTAATATATATACATATATGTATATTTTTTTTTAGATTGATAACATATTCAGAGAGGCAAATGTTAGTAATAATGGTACAATACGTTATTCGGATTTTGTTAAAATAGCTTGTGCACCAGTTCCAGATTATTATTAAAAAGTGATAATTATACATACAAATTTTTGTATATGTATATAACTAGCTATGAACAGATTTCTTTTGATTTTAAATAATAATATTATTTATTATGTACATTCTATAAATAATTGGAAATATTATTGTAATATAAATTAATAAGATTATATCCATATTCTTTTTCAAATATAATATCTATCTATAAATAAAATGTTTTCATGTAAAATATTTTATTACTAAATACTATAAGTATCTAATTTATTCAGATTACCAAGTTCTATGCTTGATCTTATACGATATTTGATTAAATTCTAAAATGCAAATAGAAAACAAATAATCTTTTTGTGTCTCTAATTCTAGTTAAATATCTACATACAACAGGGTTTTAATACACACCTGGTAGGATTAATATGATACCAAATTGAAAATGTTGTTCAAAATTTACGATTAATAAACGCAATAAATTAAGAAAAAGATGGTAATCTTATTAACTCTACAAAATTTTACTCGCAAACTTGTATACATGTTATTTCTTTAATCGCTAAATGATGCATATTTGAAAAGGCCAACAGAATAACATGAAAAATATTTGTATTCTAAATATAAACATGCTAAAATATGCAATTCTTTTTAAACTCTTTAAAATTTTCAATTTTCTTTTCATTTAAAAATCTGTATTTAATCTTTTCTTAATCTTATTTGAAAATGCAACCCAAATTCATAAACGTGAATGGAAACTTAAAAAAATTTTCAGAGTTTTCATCATTAACTAGAAAGTTGAGTTCAATGTACTTTTTGTTTATTTTATTAATTTACATATTGTGTACACAGTAAAGTGTATGTGCGATCTACATTAATGCATGAAGTTCTATTTTCACTTCAACAATAATTATACTTTTCGTGGCTTTCTATTTTAAACAAAACAATGTGAAAATAAACTACACTCTATTGTAATATGAAAATATGCTTATATACCCAAGGAAATTTTATATTACTATGGTTTCTTTTCAAGGTAGTGAAATTTTGCTATAAATACACTTATGGCAGACAACAGAATACATACAGTGTTTATGTGATAAAAATAAAACAAAAAATATCTAGCTACATAAAAAATATTTTTTATTTAACAGAACAAAATATTTCAAAAAAAAAAATGTGGACGGAAATAAAAAAAAATTTATAATAAGTTCTTATTCGCTTTTTGCTTGTAGCGTTATTTGCACTTGTAAAACAAAATTAAGACTACAATCAAACATAATTAATAGAAAAAAAAAACACTAATTATAATACATTTTCTCTATTTAAAAATGCAAGTTTAAGAAGCCGAAAAAGTCAGCTACATTTAAATTTATGTATATAATATTATTGATAATACTTAGTATCTAAACTCTATTAATTAGAAAATTGAGAAGAAAGCACGTAAGCTTTTTTTTTGTTATTTTAATAAATTTTTCGATAATTGATTTCAAAAGAAAAATATAAATTTTTGGTGGATTTCCTGTTCTTCTATTCTGAGATTGGCAATAACAAGAAATATTGTTTTTCATTTAATAAATCCAGTTAACAGGAACCCATTGATGATCATGACTTAACTGATCTAATGCTTCAACAACTTTTCTAAATGTTTCATCAAAATCATCATTAACGAGAACCATATCAAAATATTTCTCGTATTTACGTTGTAAAAATGCACTTTCTTCTACAGTTGAAACCAAATCATCATCTTCATATAAGGAAGCAAGAGATTCTAAAGTTCTGGCACGTCTTGAACTATAACGAATAGAACTCTGTCGATCGAATGCTAGACTTCGTTGTGATCCACTTGTAGCACGACGTTCTGCATAAATTTGTTTTAATTGTTCCATACCAGGTGCTGCAACAAATATAACGAATGGCATTAATTCAGTACTATTATGTAGAATTTTTAAAGAATTTGGAGCACAATCTAAGATGCACATTTTTCCACTTTTAATTACATCTTTAATTGATTCAATATGGGTACCATATAAATTTCCATTATGTTCACCATATTCAAGAAATTTATTATTTTTAATTTCCTCTTCCATTTCTTCACGATCAACAAACCAATATGAAGTACCGTCTTCTTCAAGTGGACGTTTTGGTCTTGTAGTATGAGGAATTACGGCTCCAAATTTATCGGGGTCGCTATTAATTAAACGATTTTTCAATGTACGTCGGCCAACACCTGTTACACCAATTAAGACCAAAGTTTTCCTACGAAAAGGTGGCATCCGTGTAACCTCTTCATACAACATTAGATCAGCTTTGTCAAATTCACAATTTGCAATTGATTTATACATTGTTTTGCGTTTTCGTTTTGAAATTCTTGTTCCACATATACCAATTTTATGTACAAAATCAGCTTCAGGTGGTACAAAAGCTTTACGTCTTTCTTCCAATTCTTGGGACGGAATCAAACCAGTTTTATCCGAATTGGAAGTAATATTTCTTGCTTGCCACCAATTTGGATCCTTAACATCAATAATTTGTAAAATATCACCTTGATTAAAGGCAAGCCCTAATTCAGGGCATGGTATCAAAGAATCATCTTCAGGATTATAAGAAAAAAGCGCTCTCATATAACAAGTTAACTTTTGTTCAAGTTTATTAAAAGCACCATTCGATACTGCAGTTAACCTTCCAGACTTTATTTCATCTTCAACATTAGGACCTACCTTAAATGTTAAATGTTCTTTAGATCTGCTAACTTCGGTTTGTAATTCTTCGGCAGTATGAACAGGTACTCCGTTGACTTCTAATATTACATCACCAGGATGTAATAAGCTTTGTTTCTCAATAATACCTCCAGCAACAATCCGAGCTACAACTACTTGATTATACTCATCAACTTCAATCGTAAATCCCAATGGTTGATTTGGATTTCTTCGAATCCCAACCATTTTAATTGTTTCGATTGGCATATTTCCGTTTAAAACTTCAACTGGAATTAAATGACCCTCAAATTTTTCAGATTTTTTGATATTTTCACCAATATTATCGTGACAATCAATTAATTGTTGAAAATGAGGATTTTGTAATAAACTTGCTAGTTCTTGCGCGTCAGGATTTTTAATATTTGAACAATTGTCAATTAAAGTATTAACTTCCTCTTTATTACCTAGCTTGACTGGTTCTTTATTTTTCAATTTTCTTTCGAAAATTTTTTCTGAAGTTAAATGTTCGTAATTAATTTTTTTCGATGGTGTAACACTTTTTAATAGTTCTGTCAAATATAATTTATTCGTATCGTTGTCTTCTGAGCATAAATATGATGAGTTTTCTGTCGCCTGTGTTGTCGATTCTTGATTAACTTGATTGGTGCTCAATAAAAGTTCCACTTTATCTTGTTGCTGAGATTCCTTCTTGGTTAAACGAACCATAATTATTTAGAAGTTAATTAAAATATTTTTATTGTGTAATTTTAGATATTTACTTGTAATTCTTTGTTCCAAAATATCCAAAAATAAACAAAATTAAGGGCAACACCCAACAACGCCCTAAAATAAACACTCACTTATGACGTTTACTCAACCAATTAATTTAATCAATTCAATAAATTCCTTAAAAAGCAATAACTTTCACTTTAGTTTTTATATTTGACACTAGAAAAACAACATTTCGAAAATATGAAACAGTACTGCCAACCATTTATGAAGTTCATTTATTCATTCACAATAGAAAAGTTAATAAATGTAAACGAGTTAGAAATATAATATAGAATGAATATCTGAGTCTGAAATATGTTTTTCTGTTTGCGAAATCATAACAATAACAACAACAGAAAAAAATTTTGTAAACTTGTAATTCAATATTTTTAAATGAAATATTGAAATATTACTTTCAATATTTCATACTAACCTCAGATTTTTCCTTTAACATCATTATATAATTCTAATTACTAATTTTATGACATATGTATGTACATATATTAAAAGTTCTCACCCAGTCTATTCCCTAAATATTTATATGTCAAATTTTATTGGGTAAAAATTTGACAGCAATCGCAATTCACACTTGAAATATTTAAACTTTAAGATTGTTTTAAACCTAATTTTGTGGATCCACACAAAGTTTTATGCTAAAATTTATTAAATGTAATGATTTAATAGGTTATGTATGGTTGTAAAAACCTTCAAAGTAAAAAGTACTGAACTTTCCAAAACCTTGAAACAACAATAATTATCTAAGGCTGTCAAGATCATTTTGAAAATTTTTAACTGACATTGATTGACATTATATTAATGTATTTATTAAAGACAGAAAAAAAAAATTTCAATATACCTTCTACCTGGAATTTGAAAATCTGTTAAGCCATTTAATATAAAGCATAAAATGCATATTTATAAGAAACTTTATATTAAAATAATACTCATATATAATTTATATCTTGTTATAATTATTTATTAAAAAGTTTCTACATACTATATTTTATATATATTTTTTGTTTATTAATTTTAATAAATTTTCTACTTAAAAAATTAAATAATTATTATTTTATTTTTTTCCAAGTTTTTCAACAAACTTTTATATTAATACAATTAAATATTTATAGTATATAATATTATAATAATGTTATATTTCGTAATATAATTTATTAAATAAAAAATTTTTAAATAAATAAATTATAATATATATGTATATATATGTATATACATATATATACATATATATATACATATTTTAAAAATTTCAAGAAAAAATTTTTTAACAATATTTTAATCGCTCTCACTGTTATAATTTTTGTAGTTTTATTTCTAAACAAACATTTTGATACCTACAAAAGTTCTATATATTATTATACATAAAACGGCAAGTCACATAATATTATGCAATATTCTTAATTGTAAAATTTTTTTAATCAACAAATTATTAAATTCCATAACGTAAGCACTTTTTTTTATCAATAAATGTCAACACTTTACGCGCATCATAAATGACATAAAAAATAAATCGGAAACATATCATATCATGTTTGATTTTGAAAATTTCAAAATAATTAAGATCATTTTGAATTTTAATTTTCCAAGCAAAGGAACGAGAATAGAATTGAAAAAAATAAAAATTCATAACTAAATGAAAGTAGACGATTAAAACTAATCAATAGGATCATAATATTTAGTTAAAAACCTTGAAATTGAGAGCGTTTGGAACAAAAAGGTGATTTTTATTAGAATTTTTTTAAAATTAACTAAGATAATTTTCTTTGAATTGTTTTACAGCAAATTTACATTAAACCTTTTATATTTTCAAAAGGAAATATTTTTTGCAAACCAAATATGTATATTTCACAAATATTGAAGAAAAATGTTGAATATATGTAAATTAATTTCAAAGTTTAAACAATATCTTAATTTTATACATATACATATACATATACATATACATATGTACATATCTTTATATATATATATGTATATATATGTAATACTAATATAATTAATTTAATAAAAACTGCAATTTTTTCCTTATACTTATCTAATTTAATTTCTCATTTCAAATTACTAAAAGATATGTAATATTTTTTAATAATTAAACATTAAAAAAAGAACATCGTATTATATATGTAGATAAATTTTTGCGTAAAAAATTTTATTTTATGCAAATTTTGATAATAATGCAGTTTTACTTTAACTATGTCTATTAATTTTCTAAAGCAAATATTTCAATATTAAAAAATTGTTTTTATTTTAATTATATATTTCTTTTTGATCACGTATATCATAAGTGAAAATTGAAATTTTTTGAATATTGATTACAATAGAAAAAGCTTGAACAAATAAAATTTTGATATATTTTCAATTATAATATTTAAAAAATGCAAATAATAAATATGTTTTAATTTAAAAATAGCCAACGATCAACAAAAATCATTTTTTTTTCTTTTAATTTGTTTAACATTTTTATATTAAATAAATTCAATATCAAATGAGTGTATCCAAAATTTGTGCCAAAATTTTGCCATTATTTAAAAATTTTTACCTATTATAAATGTATTCCTCTATAAATTTTTTAATTAAATATTGCATTTTAAAGTTTCTAAAGCGAAATTTTGTTTTGGTCTGCTTAAATAAAGTTTTTCTAATATTTTTTGTTTTTTTTTTACCAATTATTTATTAGATCTAATAATTTATTAAATTACAAGATCTTGTTTTTATCTATTTTACATTAATATTTTTTTATTTTCAAATTTTATAAACATTTAATATAATTATTTAATATTTTGTGTTTGAAACAATAAACAGAAAATGTTTTGAAAATTTTTATTTTAATAAAAATATCATTAAATTTATTTTTTTTTGAAAATCGTTTTCAAATATTTTAATTCTATCTACGATGATATTTTAAAATAATGAAATAATTATAAATATAACATAAATATAAATTAATATAAAATTTTTTAATTTTCAATTCAATTCGATATTACATATTAGACATAATATGTGTATTTAGTATAAAATTTTAAACGTCATTATAAATAACAATTTTCCTTAAAGCTTTTTTTCTACATATAATATATATATATTTATATATATATATACATATATATGGATGTATTTTTATATATCGACCGTTCAATTTTAATATTAATTAGAATTATTAATTTTTGATAAAATTTTTGTTTTATTGCACTATAAAATTGATAAAAGGAAAAAAACTGCGTATTTTAATAGAAGTAAATCAATATTTATTTCATTTCTTTATTTAAAAAATATTAATTACAATAATAAAAAATAATCAATACAATAAAGCACTACCTACCAAGGCAATCGGGTCCAAAATAAATCAATATAATCTACATTTTGTTCGAAAAAATGAGAAAAACAAATTGTTTCGGATTAATTTTATCCATTTCGGATTAATCTTATTCCTGTAAGGTGGTATTAAATAAAGTGAAATAGTTATTTATTCCTGGAAATTATAAAGTCACTTACAATTAGAATCAAGCCGGTACGATATGAGTATTTTATATATTTTTACAAAATATGCGAATTTATTATTATATTTTGTTTTTTTTTTTTTTTTCAAATGAGTGTATACATATTTATAAGTATGTTATAAAATTGAAAATAAATCAAAGATGTAACAATTACTGAGTAAAAGAATTTATTTACTAATATTATTTTCCATATCTCATATATACGAATAAAATAATATAATATTTAAATATTGGCAAGAAATATGATTTAAAATTATTAGTATTATATATTTGCAAAATTTATAAAAATCAATATTAAATTAAAATTTATTTTGAGTATTTATATCTGTATATACCATTTTTAATTATTACCAAATTATAAATTTAAGTAATTTAAATTTTATTAAATTTTATTTTTCTATTTTAGGTTTGTATTCAAATTAGGAAAAGCAACATATTTAATTTTATTGTGGAAATATTTTATTATTTTGTTTGGAAATTCAAAGATTTTTGGAATAAACATTACAATTTAAGATAAATTTAAGATATGAAGGGTTATTCAGAAACAACTAAAATGAAAATTTCTTCATTTCAAAACTTTTTAAATTTAATTATTTTCTTTTCAACAATGTACCATGCAGAATTATATTGGTTTGTGTTTAATTTATTAAATAAAAATAAAAAATATTAATTTATTTAATTCTTATGAAATATTTGTTATATTTTTAATAATATGATTTATTTATATTTTTGTTTATTGTTTTTTAAGTTAATCAAAATTTTATGCAATTTTATTAAATATTTTAAGATTAAAGATTTATTTAATATGAATTTTAAATTTAATTTTTAAAAAGATCCTTTTTTTTTTAACTTGCTTTTAGTTTTTTGGTCTGAGAATGTAATTTTTGTATTTTTATATAATTTTAAAAGTAGATAGTGGCTACTATACTTATATATTTTTATAGATATACATAATATATATATATATATGTATATTATAATAATATTAATACTTTTACTTAGTCTTTGTTATCCTCTTTTATTATTTTCAGTTGATATTTTAATTGTTAAAAATGTTAATTCTCTTATATTTGTATGTATATATATTTTAATTTATATTGAAAAATCCTAAATAGTTTTGTAAAAAAATTGTTATGAATTTTTCATTTTTTTTTTTTTTGCATTTTAATATTTATTTAATTTTTTTTTTTAATTTTTTATTTTATTTATTATACATGAAAATCTATATAGGTTATAATAATACATATTCTTAATTTAATTTTAATTCATATTATCAAAGTTTATATGAAAATTTTAATTGAATCACTGTTTTGTTTTTTTTTTTAATTATTCAAATTGAATTTTTCAAATACAATATTTTGTAATAATATGTATGCATTTGTATATATATTATATAATATTATATGCATATACATTATTATATGTATGTAATGTATAAAAGTAATCGAAAATTAAAGTTTACAAAAATTTTGATAGAAAAGAAAATTAATTTACTTATGTTTTTAAAATAATTTAAATCAAATTAATTTGAAAAATAGTATTTTCTTGTTTGTTTATATAACAAATTTTAAAATTTTCATTAGGTTTATTTTTTTTATTAAATTTTTTATGAAATTAATTGGCATTCAATTTATTATTTATATAAAAAAATATGAAAAAATCGAAATATGTAATTTGTTCTGATAACTGAAATATTCTATGTTTAATAATGATTTCCAATTAATTTTGTTTTATAACATCTTATTAATATCAAATTAAATTTAAAAGAATCATTAAAATTATTAAAACAGAAAAACCAAAGCTATATATTTATTTAAATAATGAAAAAAATACCTATATGTTTGGAAATTGATAATAATCTTACTAAAAACTTCATTAAATTTTAATCAAAATGTTAAATTGTATCTCAGTTAAAATTAAATTTAACTAAAATGAAATTAAATTCAAATTAAATATATAATAGTATCAATAATTTAGGATTTAATAGAACATAATTAGAATATAATAAGAATATATTCTAAAACATATAAAGATTTAAAAAAAAATTTAATAAAGCAATTTTAATAACTTGACCTTGTATATTATTTATTTATCAATTATCAGTTCGATAATTGAGAATCAAGGTACAAAACTAAAAAAAAAAAAAATAAATAAATTAAATTTTTATTTAAAATAAATAAATTAATAAAAATTATATTAATATTAACATAAATATAAATACGCGTGTATATTGTAATAAATATATAAAAAATTTTACTTTTATAATATAAAATTTTTTTTGTTAACCTATAATTTTATAATTAATTTAATAATAATAATTGATACAAGTTTTTTTTAATTGTTGTTTTTATATAAATGATTTTTGATATAATTGTTTTTCTATTTAATTTTTCTTTTAATAATCAAATATAGTCGTTGCACGATATAATTTTTTTTTTTTTTGATATCTTTTTATATATTTTTTTTAATAATAAATTTCAACTAATTTTTTTTTGCTTCTTAAAACTATATTTCATGTATATATATATAAATATTCCGTTTGTTTTCATCTTTTAATTAAAATTTTTAAACAATTTTGCGTTTTTTTTTTTAATTATTTTATTTTATTAATTATTTAATTAAATCATGAATTTATAGAAAAAACTTAATAAATATAATTTTAGTTTGATATTAATTTTTTTCAATTATTAAAAATCTATATGATTTTTGAATATATTTTTATATAATAATAATAATAATAATGATAATCGATAATAAATTGTATGTAAGTTTCATTTGATAATTTTTTAATTTAAAAAAAAAAAATCTGATTTTTTTTTTGTTTTCGTTATTTTTTTTTTAAATAATATTAATTATTGATCACTAAAATGTTCGCTCTTTATTTTTATTAATTCTACTGCGTTTTTTAAAACCACCCATTTGTTTTAAAAGCTGAGAATTTTCATCATCGATTTCACTTTGAGGGTCCCAAAGTCTTAAACGTTTTGGAATATACAAAAGGCCAATAAGTGTGATTGCTGAAAAAAAAAAATGATTTTTTTTTTTAAAGATTTTTAATTTTTTTTTGTTAAATATTTAATATGAAAGAGTAAAGCAGTAAATCAAAATTAAGATCTAACGTTTGACTAATATTATTTAGTAGTTCTAAAATATGCAAAATGAATTTATAGAAATATGTACATATGTTAAAATTAAATATTTATATACTTACTATTAAGTACACACGGAAAAATCACATAAAAATTTAAAGTGCTAGAGCGAAAGTACAAGGCCTCACTGGAGTAAAGCACCATTGTCAAAGCTAAAGCACATCCTCCCATACTAACCACACTATAAATATAAAAAAAAAGATTATTTTGTTTATTGTTTCGTTTAAATTTTAATTTTTCTTAAATTTTAAATATAACCTGACATTTACTTAACATGTGGCATAACACTTAGCATTCAAAAGAGAATACACATTTCATTTTTGAAAAATCATTTTTGTATTTAACATTAATTTGAAGAATATAATAGTTTATGTAATATTTAATAGTTATATGTAATAAATACTTAATCTATAATACACATAGCAAAATTTTCTTCATTCCCGCACGTTCTAAGATATTAAATTTCATGTAGGAAAAAATATATTTTAAAAAAATCAACTTATAACTTGTGATTACTGAATTGTGCATGGTGGTTCAGTATTAGTTCATTTTTGAAAGCGTGGTATAATTAAGTTATGTGAATAATTAAAGTATTTTTTTTTTATTCTAAAATATTTAGAAATCAAATGAAAAAATTTTTAAACAATAAAGTTTTCGCATTCTAATAAATATAAATTAATCATGAACCTCGAATTTACAGAAGGCCCAAAATGTTATACCAAATTATTTATAATTTTTTTACTTTAAGTCTTTAATAGGATTTTAATTCTAATGTTTTAAATAGCTACAAATAAAAAATTCGTAAATCGCTAAGTTTTGTATTACAATATACAAAAAGATAGCTATAAAAGTAAAAATGTTGATTTTATATTTTTTATATATATTTATACATGTATATGTATATACTTACGGCTTATAATGTATGTATAGAGTGCAATGCACTAAGGCCAATGCTTTTAATACACAGTACATTCCTATTATTCTAGATATTGTATAATCACCTGAAAAAAAATAAAAAAAAAATTTAAAATCAGCCTAAATTATTCTTAACGTTTAAAACGAAAAAAACAAAATAAATAAAAAGGAATTGGAGCATTCATAATTATTAGAGATTATTAATATATATATACAATATACTTTATATATATATATGTATGAATATATATTATATATCATTGAATGAAATTAGTGAATCCATCAAAAGACAATAATTATCATAGTTTTAATATTTAAATTGAAATTTGTATACATTTTTTGTTTTAACAAAAAAAAAAAACTCAGCGTTTTTGATCTTTTTTATATTATACAAAAGAATTAAATCAGTAAAAATGGCATACATATTTTGTATAGTATAGAATTTTATTAAACTAAGCGAAAGCAAAATTGAATTAAAAGAAGAAGAAAGAAAATTGGCCATAAAATAATTAGAATTGGAGTAGCGTAGCTATATGTCATTTGATGTAGTAAATATAGTAACTATTTTTTTAAGTACATACATATACATACATATAAGTTGTTGATTAGAATTTGAAAAGTTATTTATTATAATAAAAAAAATATAACGCTATACTGATAATGTGATATATATGCAATATATATCACGTTATCATTTCGATATATGCAATATATCATATCGTTTTGCATTATCGCTGACTCGATATGCAATATATATCATATTATTATGACAGTTATATAAAAATTGCGTGTATTTTAAATTCATAGCTTGGTGTTCATTTTTGCATCCCAGTAAATAATTTTTAAAAATACAATAAGAAATTTAAATAAAATTTTATGAGCTCTTTCATAAATGTAGTATATCGTGATATTATATAGTGAAAACTGCGTTACATTTGTGTTCATAAACAATAATAAAAATTGCTAACGCAATTTGTTTATAATTTTTCGCAATATAGCGAAATAAGTATGAATTTCGCGCAGTTAAATCATATGAACTTTTATTTTATAGAATTATTATATGCATTTTATAGAATAGTTAATATATGTTGCAAATTCATCGCGTTGTTTTTGCAGTATTGCGTTTCGCAGTATTGTATCTATGCAAACCTCTTATATATTTAATTCTTTTTCGCTATAATATCACGATTTTTTCCATTTACGAAATACAATAACATTTTATCAATTACTAAAGTATGCTAGATTTTAATTTAGGTAATAAATATATAATTACATAGTATATGTATATATGAATTTATATTAATTATTAGAATATAAAAGAAAAAAATATACAAAAATGCTTACCTTCTATAAATTGTGTATCGGTATGGTCCCCTAAAAAACTTCTTTTTTCGATATAACTACGAAATGCTGTCCCAAGATCCATGAATGCAACAAATGCTATCCAACCTCGAAACGCGTATAACAGTTTTCTATCCATTTCGCCAGTTTTACGCCGAAATTTATCAATTTTTGTATAATATATAGGGGCGGTTTATATAGAAAAATTTTTATAAGACCAAATTTAAAATTCCAAAGTCTTTTATTTTATTGCTTTCCTTGTTAAAATTTATTGAAATTTTTTTACGTGAAATTTAATTTTAGTGTTTCTTTAAATACCAGTAAAAATCTTTATTTTTCAAAGTAAATAAAATTCTAATTGTTTATCTATACGTACAGGTTAAAAAAATTGTAAGGATATGTGAAATTTACTTTATTTATATCCTTTTTTTTTGTTGTTGCTTAAAATATATACTTTATTACCTTTGCCTATTTATTTTTTCAATAGAGATTTTTTAGTATATTTTTTTTTTGTTCTTTCAATCTTTAACACACACACACACAGTTGAACAATCGCTCTTAACCCGATTCTTTTGTGGAGAGAAAATATTATATGGAAAAAGAAAAATAACAACAGCCAAACAAAAAAGAGTAAATTGTCTTTTTCGTTTTAATCTAAAATGAAAGCTTCTCTTTCTTTTTGTCAAAAAAAAAATTTAGCGTTCTCTTTGTTATTTGTTTTTTTTTTCTACTTTACTGCGATGAATGTTATTGTTGTTTATTTAGTTTTTATCTGGTTTTGTTGAATAATTTATGATTTTGACTGCTCTTTTTTTTTTAGTTTTTTTGTATTTTTGATTCGGAACACACTCAGGGAAACATTTAATATGATTACGATACCAGAACAAAAAACGATCCTTAGAGTAGACGAAGAGAACAAAATGTTAGGCACATACAGGTATTTTTCAATGCAGAAAAAAAAAAGATTTTTATAATCTTTCCAATGTAATGTAGACCACTTCGGGGCGCAACTTTATTTCATACTGCAATGTTTCAGATTATCAATCGTCTGTAAAATAAAAGAAAATGCAAAAATTTATTTTAAAGAATTACACACATATTTGTTGAAATGTAAGTAAAAAAAATTTTAATGTTTTTATTATTTAGAAACGGTCTAGGATTAAAAATGTTCTCTTAAATTAATAATGTTCTACTTTCCCATATAAGATAATTGTAGAATACAAAAATTATTATTTTCATTTTTGGCACAAATTTAGGTTAGATTACTTACAGTAATAATAATTTCAGGTATTCTGATTTTTTTTTTTTTTTTTTTGGAAAATAATGGGTTGTACATTATTGTCTTGTATATAAAAGAAAAAAAATTATTTGGAAAATTTCCTATTTCATTGTCATAATCCAAACGTTTTACTTTATTTTTGTTTATTGTGTATAAACAAAGCGTTATTGTATACAAGCTTTTAGCTTAGTAAGTAATTTATTATTCTGTAAATAAAAATTGAGTTGCATAAGGTATAAACAAATTAACGTAAATTATGATATAAGAATGTTTCCAAAAAAAAAAAAACATTCGTAAAATAAATTAGATTTCTTAGTCTCACTTAAATAAAACAAAGCTATTTCCAAAAGATAAAATTACATCCTGATTACAAATATCTGCACCACTGACTATAAAATACTGTAAGACTTAGATTGTAAAAGTTAGGTGACATGTTGTATTGCCAGCCGGGACTTATCCTATGAAATCTTATATTTCAAGAATATACCCTAATTATTTTTTTAAAAATAGTCAAAAACCTACATTCCAGTTCTATAATCTTGGCATATTCCGAAAGTCGATCAAACCGTCTCGTCCTCCAAGTAAAATCAGGTATAAATTTCTGTGAAAATCGATTTAGCCGACCTTGAAATTCAGATTTGTACAGACAGACATGTTACTGTCGGTAGACGAATGGATAGACCGGCAAACATATCTCTGAAAATATTTTATTTATACGCTTCTCTAGCATGAAAAAATGCATTCCCGATGAAAATTCGACACATAACCTTATTGTAGGCAATGCAGTAGGTTCCAGATATGTACATAAAATAATAAAATTTTGCGAAAACACGTTTATTTTTCTCTTTTAAGTTTTTTTTTACTTGGAATGCACTTGACTTGAAAATTTATTTTTATTTTATTTTAAAAACTTTAACAAAAATATTCTCAAGAGATTATGGAATTTATGAATAATATTAAAATTGAATTAATTTGAATTCTTGTTGCAGAATGCATTTTGGAAATTTTCTCATTTTATTTTTGAAATTTATAGAAAATTTCAAATATTTTCTATGAGTTTTCTTTTTTTTTTTTTATTATTTACCAGATGCATTTTGGGGAATTGTTGTAAGTACAAAAAATTTATTTATGAATCACACTTTTTTCTTTTTATATTCGAAAAATATTTTTAAATGTTGAATTTTATAAAAAATATAAATTTAATTAAAGTTTTGTAAGCAAACAATTTTTTAAAATTTATTAAATACTAGTGAATTTTATTTAAAGGTGAAAATTTTAATGCAGAAGAAAGGCCGTGATAAAAATTAATTTACACTTGAAATTGAAAAAAATTAAAAAATCGAACAGTATGCTTTACAACACTGAAATGCCTGCTTCATGTATTTAATTAACAATCCTAATGCCTGACGTACATGTCAAATCAAAATGGTATCCTTAAGCTAAAAATAATTTCAGTATTCAAAATCATTTTTAATATTCTAATTTTTTTTCTCAATTTTCTCATAATTTTTTAATAATTATTTAATGTAGCAGTTTAATCAATATACGCCTGATTACAAATTAAAATTGACTTAAAATTGTTGTTGTGCCGATTTCTTTTGTTTTCGTTTTCGTCATTCCTTTTAATAATCTTTTATGACGTGAAATTAATTTTCTCTCCAATTTAGCTATAATTTGTCATTTATTTTTTCTCTCATTTTCTCTTCTTTGATTTTATTTTCATATTGACGTGAAAAATGATGGAATTTTATTTTTACATTAGTTAAAAATAAGAGTTATTCAAATGCCAAAAATGAAATAGTAAAATAAAAACGAAAATTTATTTTTCAGACCACATTGAATAAAATAATGGAAATGATGCCTGGTTGTCTGACGAACTTTTCGAGGAAAACCTTTAATTGCCTTACCTATTATTAGACGAAAAAAGGGCATGGGAGGAACAAATAAACGAGCAACTTATTAAAGTTAGCAGAATAGCAAGGATATTTAAAATAATCAGCGGGGGTGCCCCACATAAAATTATTAAGATGTTTGGCAGTATTTCAATATGTTCCACTCAACAATAACATGTGCCATTCATAAAACCCACCGTGCCATCTAGAAGGAAACGGACATTAACTCTAGAGGTGAGTCATTATTTGAACTTCATATTAGTAGCTATTTTACTGTAACTAATGCGGGTAATAAGCCAACTTTTGTAAATAAAATTCGGGAGACGGATTAACCATTTCTCAGTAAGTTTGACATATGTCGGATGAACGATTTATTTCGAATAGCAGACATATCGAATTTAAGGTGTTGATTGAACAATTGACGCCTGTTCAAAACAAAAAAGATCTTAAGGAACGTTTTGGAACCGCTCTTAGAGTGGAGGAATAATCGTCAGTATGACCTAAGGAAACACCAAGTATTGTAGAGAACAAACCTTCGAAAACTTCTTCGTATTTTATCAACTGTAACTCAGTTGGTACAGTGTCCATCTAATAGGTAGGACATTAATTCAAGCACATTTTGAGGAGAGCAACATTTTTTACCCTGGCTATTAATTAATTCCTTTGATTATTTCATCAATCTCTTCTACAGTTTTATAGGGAAATATAAAACGATTATGAAATAATTTCCATTACTAATAATTGTTTTAAGCTAGAAGTTACTAATACAGACACACTTTTCATTGTAATAAATACAGTTTTGAATTTATTTGTATTTCATGTCGAATTTTAAAACTTTCTTATATTGCTTTTCTTGTTCTAAAAATTTCTCTTTAGATATCATAATTATTCTTTTAAAAAACATAAAAATACAAAAAAAAAATTCGAAAAATTCTTAAAATATTCTAGACAAGTATCGTAAATAAGCATGTAATTTAAAAAGAAAACACTTAAATAATTTTAGGCAAGTATAGCTAGCTGGATATCAAAGAATTGAGTAAAAGAATAAAAGTATAATCCGATATTTCAACAATAAAGTTTTCTTCTTTATTGTACTTTTGTGTATAAGAGCAACGAGCTAACATCTCGTTAACATTTTTATAGAGCTAAAGAGCAAAACGTGAATATTAAGTACATATAAACTTATGCAAAACATTATAGATAGGGCTTCGATTTTCATGTCATGAAAAAAAAAGTTTTTGATAGCATTTTCAATAAATCATCAACAGTACATACAAATAAATATAATTTTAAATAAAAGTGATGAGATATTGCATAGGATTTGTGTTATATTTATAGTGTAAGTCTGAATATACGCACATATGTACATAAATATATACAAATTTCATTTCCTTTTTAAAATTGCTGACTTCAAAATTTTAAAAATTTTATTCAAATGTCGAATGAGAATTGAATTTTTTATTAAAACTGACTAAAAAAAGTGAACGCGTTTATGGAATTTTAAAAATGAATAGTAGCTAGTACTACAGAAAATAATCTCAGAATTTGATTTAAGATTATTGCTTAAATCTTGCCTTTTTTTTCTAAAAATTCAATTAGCATGCAATTTCTGTAGCAAGTTTTATACATTATTCGTTTTTCCTTTTTTAAAAGATCCTCCAAATGTAGTAATTTGAAAACTTTTATATTTTTGAAATTGAAAAACTATGGCCTTCTACCATATATAAAATCGCTCCAGAAAATCACAATATTCTATAAGAAAAAATCGAATCGAAAAAAAAAAATCTGATATGGTCGGCACATAGCCAACCGCAATGTATATTGTCTAGATTAGTGAAAGAGTTACAGAAGCTTATTAAAAGCTTGCTTATTTAACACACTTTTCCAGGTATGTTAGATAAGCAAGCTTTTAGCTAACATACCTATAAAATTATAAATTTGATTCTTAGTAGAATTTCGCTTTGTGCCACTAGAATCTTCTGAAACGTTCATCAGTTAGATTTGGTAGCAAACAGAACTCAAATAATAAATTTCAAGAAATTCCAATAATTCGTTCAGTAGATAGGGTTAACAATGTAGAATCGGACCCCAGTTCGATTTTTTCTGATCTTTCCAAAAAATTTCTAGATTCATTGTTTAAACACCACGAATTTAAATATTAAGGAAACTGGTTGATTATTTCTCTTTATATACGCAAAAATGTAAATCTTAACCGCAAGAAGGCCCAGGTCGCGAGGTCTGATATATCAAAAAAGTTAACCAATCCGTGCCATAGCCAAAATAAACTAACATAACAAAATCGGTCCAGTCGAACTTGAGATACACGCGTGCACACACAAACCGACATCTCTCTAGTAGTTTATTTATACGTTTCCCTACAATGGAGGAGTGCATTCCCACCTAAAACTGAACATCCAAAATTTGGTGCCATCAAATATTGTATACAATGCGATCAATGAAAATGCAGTCGATTAAAACTATAGTTAGAAAAATAGCACATTTTTGTCTCTAATAAAACTTGTATTTATTTACATTTGGCTACGAAATAATAAAAAGAGCCGCTTTAAAAAATAATTTTCTTGCCATAATTTTAAAAATTTTGCATAATTTTAGGAGTAATTACAAATTTTGTAGGTAATTTTATAAAAATTGAAGTGTTTTACTAGCTAATATTTTCTAGTATAAGATTTGGTAAACCTTGTAATGTCGAGAAAATTAAATTTTGCAAACTATATGTACATATATAAAAACCGCTCCGAGAACAGTCAAATCAGCAACCAGATATTTGTTTATGGTTTTTTATGATAGTAGAAAAATTTTTTGATGTTTCCGTATTCACTAAACTTACAAATTAGTTAGTTACTTTTGACTCGGAAA